ATAGATAGAAAGTAAATAATAAATAGCAACATTTGAAGAGAGGTTAGCGTAAGGTTCCATGTCTTGAGCACCTCCGCGTGGTGGCGGGCCGCACCGACTCACCGCAGGCTGAGCCGTGGGCGTATCGCTCTACACTTTCATTTCACTCCGGTAAGGCAAACAGGCTGGACAAAAGGGAGCTGCTCCACATTCGGTTGGGGGGGGGGGGGAGGTATGTACCTACGCAAGCAGTTTGAGTGTCAGTCAACAAGTGAGTGCTTTCATCCTGGAAGTCGAAACATCACAGCGTCCAAAAGAGAAAATTAACCCCGGCCTATTTTATTTTTTTCTAGGTTGGCGAAGCTACCCCACGACGCACGCTCACATAGACATCCGCCTCTAGCAACAGCAGAGTGGGGAGTATCGCCTTCAGCTCCCTGTCGTTGGTTGGCGACAGCAAAGGCGGGCACGGGCCTTCACCCTGCACCTGCAGGCACCGACGCACGACATGCCAGTACCCCGCGTCGCAGCGACACCCATAAGCCCACGTCAGCAGTAGTGGCTCCAACAGCAGCAGCAATGAGCCAGAACGGAGGCCAGAAAGGGAAATAATCTTAAATTTAAGTTTTATAGAAAGGGAGTTCAGTGCTGGCGTAGGCGTATTTGTGCCGTACAGCGAGACGAAAATGATTGAATGGAGCGATTGAAAGGAGATGAAGACGAACTACAACAACAACCTATAATAAGCGCGCCGCAACAAGCTACGCCACTGCAGCGGGCCGAGTAGCGATACCCGTAGCGACCCGACCCGACCCCACCTAGCCTGCCCCGCCCCTCCCCGCCCCGTTTAATGCCGATACAATCACTTTTATTGCAGCAATCAGACTTTAACGGCTTCAGCCCCCCAGACTGGCTGGCGGACAATATATAATATCTGCCGCGGCCTGGCTGCTGCACTGATTCTGCGGCGTGGTGGTGGCGTGGCGGGGCGCGAAACTGACGAAATGCGCCGAGAGGACAGTTGAAGTGTTTGGAGGATCCAACACTATTTACACGAGCCAGAGAGAGGACATTTTTTCGGACCGCGTTGCATCCGAAAGCCGAGTGCATATCCTCGTCATTAAATATAATGCAGCGAGAGACGACAATAGTGCAGTGGGCGCCGCGTCAACAGAGAGCTGAAGTGAGGTAGAGAGGGGGGGGGGACTCTTTTCAAGAGGGCTTAAGCTTGAACAAGAGTGGAAAGGTGTAGAGCGGGGCGCGGCGACGCGGGTGCCCACCAGGCGTGCCCACCAGGCGTGCCCACCAGGCGAGCCCGGCCCACCAGCATCAGGCTGCCGTCCATCCCAATCAGAGGGGGGCGCTTATGACCGCCCTGGAGGCGCGCCAGGCCCTGGGCCAGGCCGCGGGGGGAGGAGGCGGGGGAGGGCGTCGTCTGGTTTGGGACGGATCTCGCCATCACAACGTCATGTCCGTCCGGGGCAACGGCCTGCTGCTGTTGTGTAGTACAGAACAGGAGGAGCCAGGCCAGTGAGGGGCAAGCAGGAGTCCTGGGCGAGCGGACGGACGGGATGCTCTGCCCGGATCTTGATCGACAAGGTCGGTCGTCTTGACCCTGGCTGGCTGGCTGGCTGGCGGGTGCGGGTGGTCCCCGGTGTGGTCCCACTCACCCGCCGTGTCAACATGCCCGCCCGGCCGCCCCACATGACGCGTCATGTCGCCCAGCTGACGCCGCTGACGAGGGGGTTTGCGCAGGCACGCCTGCTGCTTACTGTCGGCGTGTCCTCGACGGGCGCAAGCGAGTGCGAGAGAGAGACGATAAAAATGTAGTTTCACACGCAATGCTATTGGGCCGAGAGCGTCGCAACGCCCTCGTGTGGCCGGGTAGAACGCACGCCGTGGATCGATAGTTACAACAATAAATCGCCGTGTTTTTATCGTATGATCCACCTGCAGCCGTAAGAAATAAGCTAATCTTTGTCATTTACAGGTTAGGAAAGGGGATGGACTGAAGTAGTTGTTGCATAGAAGTTAGGTAACCTCCCCCCCCCCCTAACGCGACGAAAGAAGAAAAACACACTTTATCTTGGGGAAAATTTTACGACATGTCATTAGGGACTTCAAAAATCAGAAGGAAAGGGTTGTTTTGACGTGTGTCGACCGACCCCGGCCGGGTCAGCCCAGCCCCCAGCGCAGCGCGCTCGCCTGCTCACTCACCGGCCGGTGGTGGGCCGGTCAGCCGGGGGCCAGCTGACCCACAAACTGCCTCTACTATTCCTGAAGGAAACCTTCGCGCCCCGCGTCGCCCCTCCCCCCTCGCCCCCTCTCACCCTCCCACGTGCCAGCAGCGCGCGCATTTCGCCACCGCGCCTCCTCCCCGCGCGCGCGCCCCGGGGGCCGCACCCCCGCGGGGGAGAGAGACCTTCACTCCACCACGCACGGCCTGCTGCAGCACTCAAAGGGCCCCCCTGTTCACGATGTCGCCGCCCGGACGACTCGCAAACGTCGTCGACAACGACCGCCGCTGATGTCGACATCGACGGCGAGCAGCGGCAGCGGCGGCCGTCACCGTCCTCCAACAGGTCGTGCGCGGGCTATAAAAATATGTGAAGGTTTGTGTGAGGAATGCGGGGAGATGGATTGGCCTCGAGCGTCCTGCAACTCGTCTAGTTGGAAGTGCGGAGAGGTTGGGGAGGGGGGCGAGGGGGGCACGCACCCATCCATTCCGTGGCGTGGCGTGGCGGCGCCGGGACGATTAGCTCATGCATGAAGCGCAGCGCTAGCGCCGGCCGGCCGGCCGGGTTGCCCTGCCCATGCGGCCGTCAAAACACACCGCCGCCCCGGCCAGATACCATCTACACGACGGCCTCCTCGGCCGCGCACCAGAGGGCACGGCGAACGCCGAGAGGTGGCGCGGTGCTGCGCGGGACGATAGAGAGGCGGCCGGCGTCGGGGACGGTATGGAGGCGCCCGCAGGATGTGATGGGGCGCGCAATGGACTCGTAGGCTACGAGGGAGGGCGGAATAAATGGAGAGGGTCCGTCTGCAGTGGGCAGCGTGACGGGCAGCGTGACGGTCAGCAGGAGGACGTTTGGTAGGTTTGACGATCTTCAGGGCGACGTTCAACAGGGTGACGTTCAGAAAGGTGACGCGATCAACAGGTCGATGCAAGGTGACAATCAGCAGGGTGGCGTTCGGCAGGGTGGTGTGTGCAGGGTGGTGTGTACAGGGTGGCGTTCAGCAAGGTGGCGTTCAACGGGGTAACGCTCAGGAGGAGGACGAGGAGGAAGCGACGATGATGAGGTAAGAGAGCGTAAGTGAGGAGATCGAGCCTCCGCCTTGGCAAACCTCCCAATGGGTCCGACTCGCAAGGCAAGGAGGAGGGCCGGGGGGTGAAGTGTGTATGCGAGGAGGCACCGACACGTCACAGCAGGGCTACACGACCCGGCGCCACCAGGTAGCCTCGCGCCTCCTCCATATCCTCAATTAAAACGAGAATCCCCTGGCATAAGTACAAACGGGGCAGGCTAGCCTCTTTTTCACCTTCGTTTATTGTTTCTTTGCTTTACGAGTTGGACGCTGGCTGGCAGCAGTCCGTCACGCAGCAGTGTCTGGGCCGACACGACGAGTGCGACTCGCCTAGCCCCAGGTACAACCGCGGCACGACCAAGTGCGGCCGCGCCGCTCTTCGCGAGGGGGAAAAAAATACCTGAGAAGCCAGGGGTAAAATAGTTCAGTCACAGGGCGGCATTAAAAAAACGTTGTGAGCACAACTTCTAAGAATAATTAAGGTTTATGGAAAAGCAATTCCAGTGCTGTGCACCCAGAAAATGTGAACTCAACCTGTGTACTTCATTTCTTTTAGAGGATTGACGTTTCTCAGAAACATTTCTCACTCGGTGCTCAAAACAAGTGCAAATGCTCTCAAAAAAGTCAAGTAGGTAGGAAAATCGGGAACACTTTTTATTTCCCGTGTGCTTTGCAAATTTAACTGTATAACAAAATGACAGTTTGATGAACGTTCTCTAGTAGTTTCAACTGCAAAACGAAAAATTTATACAGTTGAGTGTCAAACTAGCCCTGTGCAGTCGTGCAGTTTGAGTTTTGCAGTTTGATTTTCAGAGTGTGACTACTCGCGCATTAAGGTCTCGCGCCTCTCGGGCTTGTTAGCGATCGGCCGGGTCAACGGGAGCGGCAGTGTGGCATGTCCTCCTGGCGCACTCCGTCTCGGCGTGTCGCCGGTCGCCAACGGTGAGTGTGGTCGCGGCGCGGGGCGGCGTGGGCGCCCCGGCGCCTGCAGCAGAGTGGCGCTAGGACAGGAATGCAGGCCGATGCGGAGAGATGTGGGACTCAAATAAATATTGCGCGCTCCCCAGTCGGGGCCAGGGCCAGCTGCGGGTCCCCCTATCCCCTTCTCCCTTTCCACCACCCCCGGTTCAGCAAGGGCGCGTCCCAGCGTCACTACACATAAAACTGTGTTCTATGGATTCCTCCATTTTATTTATCAGATACCAAAACATCCTTCTATAAATAGGAATTCACACATAAGCACACGGGTTTTAAAAAACAGTGACAGAATCTACAAGCGCACGTTGTTCCTAGAGTGCAAGCAGCAGCCGAGGACCCGCGAGGACCACATAGTCACATAGTTTGTAATGTTATGGCAGGGGTGTATGCGCCGCCTGCGCTCGTAACAACCCTAATGTCGAACGGTCGTTACTCATAAAAGTTATAGCAAGTGGCGAAAGAGAGAAGGGAGAGAAAAGGCGGGTAGAAAAGAAAAAGAGGAGAGAAGGGGGGACAGAAGAAGAGGAGAGAAGGGGGGACAGAAGAAGAGAAGGGAGAAAAAGAGGAGAGAGGGAGAGTGTCACCCTGTGGCAGGTGGGCCGGCCCATTGTGCACAAGATGATAAGCATGCCAAGGCAAATCTGACACAAGGGAGGCGTGTCGGGGAGGGGAGAGAGGCGGGGGCGAGAGAGTGCCAGAGAGAAAGAGAGAGAGAGACGCTCTCTTAAGTTACAAGCAAATAAGACCGGAAAATCGCCATCGAGGGGCGTAAAGGGTGTACAGTGGAGACTAGTGACTAGTCAGACTATGAGATGAGTTGAAAAATAGACCATTTCAAATTCGACTCCCTCAAAGTTAGTCAACTATAGACCTTTTTAAAGGACAAATGACTATAGAACATGATACAGGGATGTCAGCTGGCGGTTATCGAAGTTTTGGGCTCGCTTCCAGGAGAATGCGCGGAGGACAGTCTCAAAGGAAGCTTTATCGCTTGTAAAACTCGTATCTAACGGCACTCATTACTCCAGCCAATGAGACACCCACACGACTCCTGAATAAGACGCTCATTACCCTCCCGGGCGCGTGGGCACATGCGTGCGGGAGAGGTGGAGGAGCGAGAGAGAGAGAGAGAGAGAGAGACACAGAGAGAGAGAGAGAGAGAGAGAGAGAGACAGACAGAGACAGAGAGAGAGAGAGACAGAGAGAGTGTGCACAGAGGGTCCACTGGCCACTGAAACGCACATCAGACAGGAGTATGCGGGCCCGGGTGGGCGTAACGGCTGAACCCAGGAGAGGGAGGAGAGAGGAAGGGGGTGGGGGGTGGGGGGCTTGTTTGTATCGGGCGTGCCGAGATGGACGGGTAGATTGAGCGAAGAGGGGCAGGTGCGTTGAGGTAGGGGAGAGAAGAGAATAAGAGAGCAGAGGAAACAATGTGCATGAGACGGAAAATAATAATAAAAACGCCGGGGAGAGACGGGGATGGGGTGTCCACTTTCGTCCTGAAGATATAACGATGGCATGATCATCGCAGTGAGAGGATATAAACATGCTCACAATTGCCAGTTCTGTCGCAGGGAGGAGAGGGGTGGGTGTGGGACAACCACATGAAGCGAGGTGACAGCCTCGCTCAATTTCGCTCTTCCACCCCCCACCCCGTCCTCTATCTTATCTGGCGCGTGCCTGCGGTGTAGAACGAGCAAAACAGGAGGGCATTTACATTTACTAAAGCTGTATATTGCCTATTTCAAGAGATAAGTGCGTTGTGCGGATGGACAATTGGTACGTCATTTAGTGTACAAAATCAAAACAACAAAATTGAGCCAAAACATAAATTTATAAACTTCATGAAATTGAATCCTCAAAAATGTGCCATTTTTGTTACAAAAATACGTTTTTAACGAAATTTTAGAAAGAAGAAATAAATTTAATTAAAGTAGCTAGACTTAGAAGAAAATCATGAAAATTCAGTTTTGACATTTGTACATGCATCCAGTACGATCTCGTCAGTGGTCGTGAGTGGTCGCAACACTGATGAGTACGGCTAGGCACGAGCAGCGCGAGGAGCTCCGCCCGGCCGCCCGAGGTGTAGGAGGCGCCCCCTCCCCCCGCGGCGGGCCCACGCCACCCATTTTCGGGCATCGTGCCTCCCCCCTCGGGCCCCCTCGGGGGTAACCCAACCCAAGTGAGCCGGCCGCCGCCGCCGCTGCCTCCGCTGCTGCGGCCACAGCTGGCCCAATGCCTGCGCGCACGCGAGAGAGCGAGAGAGGGAGAGAGTGAAAGAGAGCGAGAGAGAGAGAGAGAGGGGGAGAGAGTGAAAGAGAGCGAGAGAGAGGGAAAGAGAAGGAAATGGGAGGGGAGCAAAGAGGGAGGAAGGGGAGTCACGCCTGCCTGGGGGGATTTGGGG